CGTCGTTAACGCCACGCACGTGCGCCCAATCCTTTGGCGTGATCGATATCGGCAAGAGCATGGTGACATCGCGGCGCACCACGCACGCGCTGCGGACCATGTGCGCGATACTCGTGACACGTGGCGGAGTTCAGCTGCGCGTTCACAGGTAGACTTGAATGAAACGATACTGAAACCTTTTTTCCCAACCCTCCTTGGTTGGGTATTCGTTTTGAATAGAGCAGTGTGGTCGCGTCCCTTCTCCTCCCGCCTCTTCCTGTCTTGCCCGCGGGGGGCTGCGATCTGTGAAACTGTCGCAATTTTCGAGGCCTGCTGGGGGGACCAGCACAGTGGCGGGGCCAGAGCACGAGCTGAGGGCACAGTCGCCAAATTAGACCTCGCCATCCCTGGGGGGCTGCGATCTGCGAAACTGTCGCCATTTTCGAGGCCTGCTGGGGGGCCCAGCACAGTGAGGGCCACGCGCGGATTCAAATTAGACCTCGCCATCCCTGGGGGGCTGCGATCTGCGAAACTGTCGCCATTTTCGAAGCCTGCTGGGGGGCCCAGCACAGTGAGGGCCACGCGCGGATTCAAATTAGACCTCGCCATCCCTGGGGGGCTGCGATCTGCGAAACTGTCGCCATTTTCGAGGCCTGCTGGGGGGCCCAGCACAGTGAGGGCCACGCGCGGATTCAAATTAGACCTCGCCATCCCTGGGGGGCTGCGATCTGCGAAACTGTCGCCATTTTCGAGGCCTGCTGGGGGGCCCAGCACAGTGAGGGCCACGCGCGGATTCAAATTAGACCTCGCCATCCCTGGGGGGCTGCGATCTGCGAAACTGTCGCCATTTTCGAGGCCTGCCTGCTGGGGGCCCAGCACAGTGAGGGCCACGCGCGGATTCAAATTAGACCTCGCCATCCCTGGGGGGCTGCGATCTGCGAAACTGTCGCCATTTTCGAGGCCTGCTGGGGGGCCCAGCACAGTGAGGGCCACGCGCGGATTCAAATTAGACCTCGCCATCCCTGGGGGGCTGCGATCTGCGAAACTGTCGCCATTTTCGAGGCCTGCTGGGGGGCCCAGCACAGTGAGGGCCACGCGCAGTTCAAATTAAACCTCGCCATCCCTGGGGGGCTGCGATCTGCGAAACTGTCGCCATTTTCGAGGCCTGCTGGGGGGCCCAGCACAGTGAGGGCCATGCGCAGATTCAAATTATACCTCGCCATCCCTGGGGGGCTGCGATCTGCGAAACTGTCGCCATTTTCGAGGCCTGCTGGGGAGCCCAGCACAGTGAGGGCCACGCGCGGATTCAAATTAGACCTCGCCAACCCTGGGGGGCTGCGATCTGCGAAACTGCCGCCATTTTCGAGGCCTGCTGGGGGGCCCAGCACAGTGAGGGCCACAGGCAGATTCAAATGAGACCTCGCCATCCCTGCGGGGCTGCGATCTGTGAACCTGTCGCCACTTTCGAGGCCTGCTGTGATCCCCGTTTTCGAAGTGGCTAGGAGTGCTCAGGAATTGTAAATCATCAGCTTTATCAAGCCCTTTTCCTGTAGCCAGTGTCCTGCGAGTCTCCCGAATTCCGTCTGCAGACATATGTAACCCTCGCTCCGTCATCGCCCCCTTATAAAGTATCCTAAACTATTTGCGCCCCGCTTTTGCGCAGGGGTTGGGTACGTCGACAGTTTCACAGATCGCACCCCCCCAGGGATGGCGAGGTCTAATTTGAATCCGCGCGTGGCCCTCACTGTGCTGGCCCCCCAGCAGGGCTCGAAAATGACGACAGTTTCACAGATCGCAGCCCCCCAGGGATGGCGAGGTCTAATTTGGATCCGCCCGTGGCCCTCACTGTGCTGGGCCCCCCAGCAGGCCTCGAAAATTGCGACAGTTTCACAGATCGCAGCCCCCCGCGGGCAAGACAGAAAGAGGCGGGAGAGGAAAAGGAGGAAGGGCGGGAGAAGGGACGCGACCACACTGCTCTATTCAAAACGAAAACCCAACCAAGGAGGGTTGGGGGGGAAACAAGAAAAAAACGTAATCTCTTTAGGGCTATAGGGCAATGGGGCTATAGAGCTATAGGGTTATAGGGCTGTAAGTCTACGGGACTATAGGGCTAGAGAGCTATAGGGCTACAGGGCCATAGGGATATAGGGCTATAAGGCTACAGGGTTATAGGGCTTAGGGGCCTCACAGCTAAAAGGATATAGAGCTACATGACTATAGGGCTAGTGGGCTACAGGGTTATTAGGGCTACCAGTTATAAGGCTATAAGGCGATAGAAGACCCAGGCACCCGTGCACCCCCCCGCACCTCCCGGCACCCCCGGCCACCTCCGGGCACCCCAGGGCACCCAGGCACCTGGGCACCCGGGCACCCCCGGGCACCCGGGCACCCGGGCACCCAGGCCCGCCGCCGAAATCGGCGGCACACCTCACCTAACCATATGAATCCGCTAGGACCTCTACAGAGGCAAGCTCTGATTGGGGAAAAGTATGCGCATGCGGATTGTCCAGCGCGTCATATATGGCCTCGCGTGCCGCTCTGAACGTCGGGAACCAATTGGGCGACGCAAGCGACGAATCCAACCACGCGGTGCCGATAAACGCCGCGATCAAACGCTACGTCTTCTTGGCGCATTGTTTGCCGCGCGTGCCGGAGAGAGATTTCCAGCGGGCATGCAGGCGCAGCAGCGAAGAGTGGCACCACAAGCGGCTATTCTTGAACATCTCGAGCGTCAGGTCTTGCACCTCTTGTTGCGCTGCTCGGGCGAAGCCTTTGTCATCAACAGCAGCGTCCCCGCCAACCATCTACCACGACCGCGCTTCGCCCAGAGCTTCTCTATGCATAGGACCAATGTGAGCACGTCTGATGCCGATGTCAGCAGCAACTTCGGGTTCAGTCCACAGCGAATGCAAGCCAAATATTCAGTTCGTGCAGCGAGCTGCCCGCGCGAGGCCGGGCTCATCCAGCCACGTGATCGGGCGACTGGCAGCCACCGCTGCGGCCCAAAAAGATGACCCAGCATTCGGGCACAAACGGCTACGGACACGGAGCCCAGCGAAGGGGAAGGCCGCATGGTCTAACCTTACGCGGCTGCTTACACGCCATTACGCAGGCCTTTAGGCAAAGACGCGAAGCCCATGCCGTCTGAAGCCCTCTGGGGTTGTCTTCGGGCTCTCGTGGGGTGCTCCCGAGAGGCCCAGGGTGGGTGAAATGTCAGGGTGGGGGGAGATTTGGGTTGGCTTTTGGTGGGCCTCTGGGAATCCTCTCGGGGCCTCTTCGGGACCTCTTGGGAGCCTCCTGGGGCCTCGTGGGGCTCTCTAGGGAATGTCTGGAGGCCTCTTGGGCCGGCTTTCCTGGGGGCCTCTGCGGATCCTCTTGGGGCCTCTTCGGGGCCTCGTGGGAGCCTCCTGGGGTCTCGTGGGGCTGTCTCGGGAATGTCTGGAGGCTTTCCTGGGCTGGCTCGGGGCCGTCGTGAAGTCTGTCGCGCCGTCTTCAGGCGATCTGGGAGGCCTCGCGGGCCGTCTTGGAGCCTCGGGAAGCCGAAAAGGGGAGAACCCTGAAATGCACCAAAAAACTATGGAAAATCAGCGAATTCTCCCTCTTGGGGCTTTCTTGGGAGTGCTCTTGGAGGCCTCTTGGGAGGATTTGTAGCGATCTTTGGGGGTATGACGGCTCCGTTTGGTCATTGGGGTCGTTTCGGGGGTGCGCCAGAGCGCCAGGAGCCCTCTGGGGCCGTCTTCGGGCTCTCGTGGGGTGCTCCCGAGCGGCCCAGGGTGGGTCAAATTTGTTAAAGGGGAGGGGGGGGGGGCGTTTTTTCCAGAGGCCCGGGCGTTAGCGGGGGGGCGTTTTTTCCAGGGTCCCTGGCCCCATAATATGTGAACAGGAGCACACACACACACACATATATATATATATATATATATATATATGCATGCATGCATGCATATATACATATATGTATACCTACAACTATATAAACATGTAATATATATGCATAATCTATACGTATACAAGTACGTAAGTGTATATACGTGCACAATTAAATATGTGTATGTATACGAATGTGTATAAACATGCATGTACATGTAATTGTATATGTAACTTATACGAACATGTATATGTATTTGTATATGGACATGCGCATGTATATGTTTATGCATGAATGTATGTATGTATGTATGTATACACAAATGTATGGATATGTGTATACATATATGTATGAGTATATATACGTGCTCCGTCGAGACGAACAACTACTTTTCGAACATTTGCGAATCGCCACTTTGCGAGTATTGGAAATATTTGTATATCGGAGGTTGGGGGGTGAGATCGAAGTGGAACGGAGAGCCCCCCTACCGGGAAATCGATTTCGGTTTCGTGTTCGTGCGTGCCGTGCGTGCGGGCGAGGCGAAGCTGCGTGGGCGGGCGAGAGGAAAGTCTCCTGTGGCTGAGGCGCGGCCGGACCAAATGATTCTCCACCGGGGCGCGGGGCCGCGCGGTGTCCCGCCGGTGTCCCGGTGGTGTCCTCTGTGGCTGAGGCGCGGCCGCACCAAATGATTCTCCACCGGGGCGCGGGGCCGCGCGGTGTCCCGCCGGTGTCCCGGTGGTGTCCCGTCGGTGTCCCGTCGGTGTCCCGATGATGATGTTGATGATGATGATTATGATGATGATGATGATGATGATGATGATGATGGTGATGATGATGATGATGGTGATGATGGTGATGTTAAAAAAATCTCCACTGGCATCGTCAGGAGAACAATCACCATTGTTGCCGATTGCTCGGCCCCTCCACCCCCCCCAACCTCCTTATCACCCGCAGGGTGGTCGTATAGGTATTTATGTATATATGTGCTACGTCGAGGCGAACAACTGTTTTTCGAACATTTGCGAATAGGCACTTCGCGAGTATTGGAGCATACCAGGTGGGATGAGGGAGAGCGGAAGCACGACAGAGAGAGCGGGAGGAGGCGGAAACAAACGAGAGCGTTGGACACCGTGATGGGGGCGGGGCCTCCTGCTTCCCCCCCCCCGTCCTGGAGAGCGGCCTGGGCCGCGTCTGGCCGGCTGAACTTTACGTAGGCAGGCTCCTCCGGCGGGCACCGCCGGAGAGGCCCCCCCCACGATCGCCGTCGTCGTCGTCCTCCTCCTCTTCGTTTCCTCCTCTTCTCATTCTTGTTCTCATGACTATTATTCTTAGCACTGTTACCATTATTGTTAGTATTACTGTTAGTATTATTAGTGTTAGCAGTCTTGACATCATTATGATCGTTATTACTATTTATCCTCCTCCTGCTCATCCTCATCGTCCTTGTACTCCGCCTCCTCCTCCTCCTAATGGTCGGTCCTCTGCCTCCTCCCTCCCTGATCTTTCCTGCCCCTTTCATCCTCCGTGATCCATCCTCCCTCACCCCTCAATCCTCGATGCTCGCTCTACTCAACTCCCTCCTCCTACATACTCCTGCTATTATCCTTTCTGCTTCCCCCGCTCCTCTTTATCCTCCTCCTCCTCCTTATCTTCCTCCTCCTGCTCAAACTTCTTCTGCCTCTCCTCTTATTCATCCTCTCTCATCCCTTTTCCCTCCTCTCCTTCTCCTCCCTCCGCGCTTTTCCTCCTCGTTCCTCCTCCTCCTCCTCCTCCTCCTCGTTCTTCCTCCATTCCTCTTCCGTAAAAATAGCTTCTTCCTGCCGCACCGCGAGGCCAGTTTTAGGGCGGGCCGGGCGATTCGCCTGAGACTCCCTCACTATTTACGACCCTGAAGCTTAAGCATTGACAACAGTTTCACAGATGAAGGGCGGGCCGTTTACAAAATGTGGCTCTCGCCTTAGCGTCGCGCACATTCGTTTTGAACATGTGCAAGATCTTCATAGACTCATGGCGGGTGGTTTTGACAATGTGGCTCTCGCTTCAGCGCCACGTACCTTCGTTTTCGGAATGAGGGCGGGTGGTTTTCAAAATATGGATCTCGGTTCAGCTCCGCGCGCATTCTTTCTAAAAATGTGTCAGAGCTTCACGGATTGAAAGCGGTTCCTTTTCAAACTGTGGCTCTCGCCTTAGCGTCGCGCGCAATCGTTTTAAAATTTGCAACGGCTTCCCATCATCAACGTGAAAGAAAAGGTGTTTTGGAAGGATTCTGGATTTGAGGGTGCAACAGTTACGTTGGTTCGCGGTGTTGTAGTCCGAGGAATGGCGTTCTGACGCGATTCAAGATCGTCAAGACGCAACAGTCAGATTGATCCGTGGCGTTGGAGTCCCCAGAACAATATTTGGCATGCTTCAGGGCCTTCAGCGGAAATGAACCTTTGTAGGGGCCTATGGAGGGGGAGCTTGGAGGGAGGGTTTATTCCAACATCGTTGATGACTCTTGGATTTATACTGGTCCTCCTCCTCCTCCTCTTTCCTCCTCCTCGTTCCTCCTCCTAGTCCTTCTCCTCCTCCTCCTCGTTCCTCCTCATCCCGGGATTGTATCGCCACATCTCCTCCTCATCCTTCGCCTTCTCGTCGTCATCATCCCTTCTCGTTTCCTCCCTCCTTGCTCCCTCCTCCTCGTCCTTCGCATAGTCCTCCAGATTGCCTCCTCCGCTCGTCTTCATCAACACAAAACACTTTCCTTGCTTCCTCCTTCCTTCCTTCATTCCTTATCCTTCCTTCCTCCCTCACCCCTCCTGTCCTCACAATCCGTCTCCTCATGCTCCTGTTTATATCATCACCATCAGCATCCTCATCCTCATCATCAGAATTATCATCGTCGTCATCGTCATGGTCATCATAGTCATCATCACGACCACCGTCATTATCAGCATCATCATCATCAGCAGCAGCATCATCATCATCAGCATCATCAGCATCATCGACACAATCATCATAATCATCACCATCATCATGATTACCACCATCATCATCATCATCATCATCATCATCATCATCATCATCAAAAGCATCAGCATGATCATGACCATGATGATGATCATCATCATCGTCATCATCAGCAGCATCAGCATCAGCATCAGCATCATCATCACCATCAGCATCATCATCATCATCATCATCATCATCATCATCCTCATCCACATCATCATCATCATCATCACCATCATCAGCATCGTCATCATCATCAGCAGCATCATCAGCAGCAGCATCACCACCACCACCATCATCATCATCATCGTCATCATCAGCAGAAGCATCATCATCAGCAGCATCAGCATCAGCATCAGCATCAGCATCATCATCATCACCATCATCAGCATCATCCGCATCTGCATCCTCATTATCAGCATCGTCATCATCATCATCAGCAGCAGCATCATCAGCAGCACCATCCCCACCACTACCATCATCACCGTCATCATCAGCAGAAGCATTCTCATCATCAGCATCATCATCAACGTCATCGTCATCGTCGCTTGCATCATCATCATCATCATCATCATCGTCATCATCAGCAGAAGCATCATCATCATCATCGTCATCATCATAATCATCATCACCATCATCATCCTTGAGATCATCATCCGTTCTTGCTTCCTCCGTACTTCTACTATCCTCCCCCTCCTCCTCGTTCTCCTCAACCGCCTCCCGTTGCTCCACCATGCTTCCTCCTCGTAATCCTATTCACCGGCATCCCTCCTTCATTCATTCCTTCCTTCACCCACCCCCTGCCAGATCAGGAATCTCGCAAAGCCGTGCTCTTCGAAGCCCCCCTAGAGAAGTGAAGGTTGGCCAAGATTGTGCATAGGGGCTCCACCCCAAGAGGGCAGGGGTCATGGCAAATCGACCCTGTACGCCCCCTATGAGGGGGTCTGTGGTTGTAATCCTCCTCCTCCTCCACCTCCTCCTCCTCCACCTCGTCCTCCTTCTCCTTCTCATTCTCCTCCCCCTCCTCCTCCTCCTCCTGCTCCTCCTGCTCCTCCTCCTCCTCCTCCTCCTCCTCCTCCTCCTCCTCCTCCTCCTCCTGCTCCTCCTCCTGCTCCTCCTCCTTCTCCTCCTCCCGCTCCTCCTCCGGAAGCCCTTTGCTGCCCTCCTGGGGCCGGCCTGCCTCGCCTTGGTACCCTCGGGAGGCCCGCTCTGGCCGCCGGTCGGGAGTCCCTTTGGGCGCCATGGGCTGCCGAAGGCCGTTTGGATCTCGGCCGGAGCAAGCGTCAGGAGAAATGCGGGACGGGAAAATGACCACAGCCACTGCTTCTTGTTTGCGCCGCCTTCCAGCCGGCCGAAAAAGAAGTAGTGGTTGTGGTCATTTCCCTGGTGCCAAGCTCAACGAAAATGACCACAACCACTGCTTTGTTTCTTCGGGCTGGAAGGCGGCAACAAAAGAAAAGCAGTGGCTGTGGTCGTTTTGACGCCCCGTAAGAGAACAATGGGAGGCTGAAAACTGTCAGAAAGCGTTGGGTTTTGAATTCTGATATCTCCGTGAGGCCTCGCCTGTGCAGCCTCTCGGGGCCTCTCTGGAATCACATTGCGGCAGCTTGATCGGTCCTGAAGCCACCTTGGGGCGTCCTGGGGAGTCAGCTTGGGTCCTGGCGGCCTCTTGGCTTTGCTGGAGCATCTTGGAAGCCTCCGGATGCCACAGAAGCGGCCCCCGACTCCAGGGGGGGGGAAATGGGCTTCAGGGCGGGAAGGGGAGGGGATGGCGTGGTTCTAAATTAAAACAAATGAAAGTTGCTCATCGTGCGCCTACACTCCATCTCGCGATACCACTCATTCCCCAAACAATGCTTGCCATTAGGGCTACTTCCATCGTAAGGAAGTCGGCCTGTGCGTCGGTCCAGCCGGCTTCTAGCCGCTCGTCACCGCCGCTCGTCGCCGCACCATTTTGGCCACAATTTTGATTGCGCGAGGCTTGCAACTCGGACTCTGCGTCGCCACCGTCCGTCGCCGCACCAGTTTGGTCACAAATTTGATGATGCGAGGCTCGCACTGTGCATTGATTCGCAGTGCTATGCATTTGTTCGCATCCCATTACATTGTTTTGCATTGCCATGGCTTTGCGTTGCTTTGACATGTTTCACCTTGCTCTGCATTGATTTCCATTATTGTGCATTGTTTTGAATTGTTCTTCATGTGTTTGCATCGTCTTGCATTACGTCGCATTGATTCGCATCGCTTTGCGTTGCTTTGCATTCCGTTGCATTGGTTTGCGTTCGTTTGCGTTGCTTTGCGTCACATTGTGTTGCCTTGATGTGCATCGCATTGCGTTGCTTTCAACTGCGTTGCAATGATTTACGTGCTTCATGCAGCTAAACACAAACGGGACGAGGGAGGAAGGAAGAGGAGGAAACGTATTGTGAGGTTTGAAGTATCACAACTCTTGCGTGCCCCACATAGACTGCACTGCGTACACCTTTCCACCGTAGCTCGCACCACATCGACCCCCTTGCATCCTCGTCAGATGACACAATGTCCGCGAGCTCGTCGACCAACAATCGTTAGTTTCTCGACAATCGAACTCGAATGACCCTGTAACGTGCCCACCGATCCGCAGTGAGTTTCAAGAGGGGCTGGTCCAGAATGGTATGGCTGATGACAACACAAAATTGGCCGTTGGTTGTGCGAGCCGTATGGGAAGGGCGAGCGATGCACGATTCACAGGAGAGCAACAAAAGAACGAGGACTGAGGCACCAAGCTGGAAGAGCAAATGGGGGTGCGAACCAAGGGGAGGAAAACGACACAAAAAGGGCCGACAGACCTAGGCGACAGCAACAGTGCGACGGTGAAAGGAAGAAGAGGACCACAACGACAGAGGTAGAATGAGGAAGGAGGGGGACGATCATATTCCAATGGCACGCTGGACAAGCAGCGTGGCCCGCGCCAGGTCGCTCTGGCGTTCCAAAGGCTAGTGAAAGAAACGAGCGAGGCCGAGCTTGCCCGCCAGGTTCTCCGCTTCATTCTGGCACCTTGTACCGCAGAAGCGAAATGCTCGCAGGCGCGCCGCCAGGTTACCGGGCGGCCCGCAGGAAAGCACATCATGGCTAGCCTAAGGCTGCGTGGGACGTCACTCTGCCAGACCCCCACCAGAATTCGGAAGTGGCGTCAGCGTCGCAGTGCACAGCCCCCCAGGGATGGTGAGGTCGACCCTGGATCTGCGTATT